ATCAGTAAAAAAATAATCAAATAATAATAAAGAAGAAACAAAGATAAACGTAAGAAATGACCTCCGAGTAAGTGATACGTCAGCAAAGTATGGCTATCGCAAATAAATAAAGCGTAAATTCAAATAGACACCCTGCTAGGAATTGAGCTTGAAAATGTGGAAAAATAAATTCACAATCATGAGAAAAATTACGGCATTTCTGACAAAGTCAGCTGCAAAAATCGAGCACACATATTTACATATAGGTTTGGGGCATATAAAAATAAGCAAGTTATTTTCGACCAAAAAACGGCATAAATAAATAAATGATGGTAAAATGTACGCTTTATAGGCTCTTGATGGCTAACAACAATGGCACAGTGGCGTCATATTACTTAACCGTGTAAAAAAAGTGCGATTGAAACCAGCAAATATAGATTATAGCATGAGCGTGAACAACAAAAAAGTATTCGAACACATATTTCATAAACACAGATGAGTATCGCGAAAAATAAAAAAAAAAATTGCATAAGTTGCGAAAGCCGAGACGCAGCAGCACTTTTTCCGGCTACATAACAGTCGCCTGTCATTATTCCTCGCACTTACATCCTCCTGCAGCTCAGATGCCGGTGTGTACATCGTTTGTTTTTCTTACACACCCGCTTTGTAGGCGTTCGTGTTTTTCTCTTTGGACAATAAAAGGTTTCTGGCCGCAAATGTCAATTTATCATGTCCATTTCCTAAGCACATTCGCCAGCGAATTACAACTCATAAATAGAGGTTGTGGACTAAAGTGTTAGGCTGCTGAAAGTACCGAAGATGCTGCTTCGTGTAGCTAGTTAGTTGCGGAGATACATGCGAGGAGTCGTCTGTAGCGAGATTGTGGCTTGTTGTTGTTCTTCTATATATATGCGCTTTAAAAACAGATTTCTCATTTGTTTTGACAGTCCACTGAGCACATATACATGCGCACATTTTTATTAAAAATTTCCTTATTTGTATAAAAAATAAGCGAAAAGTTTATTTTTAGATGTTTAAGAATAACCCAGTCTACATTTCAGTTGCACATTTTGAGAAGAAAACCTTTTAAGCTGTTCTCTTCTCTTCTCTGAACACACGTGATATTTCCTACTTCTCTTTTGAGTTCCGTAGAAGTTTCGCCTTAAAGGCTTCTAGCTTGCTCTTATCTTTTTCAATTCTTCTATTTTTGGACGATCTTTCCATGCAATTTTTCATGAATAACTCTCGGAAAACTTTCAAGACCGAATGAAATACGCCATCGCCAGACGCCATCTTATAGATTTTTTAAATATTTATGGCGGTGCTTCGAGAAAAGATTGCGTCCACTTCTTATCTATCTGAACCGTTGGAAATTAAGTAAGCTACAGACAGATATAAGCATATTTCCTTACATTTCTAGATCCCATCATACTATAAATAATGACGTCGGGACTGCTACGCTACGAAGCGAAGTCTCAAACTTTCGAAGCTTTGAATCCTTGTATTCATGTTGTTATGAACTAATGTATTTTTCTGTCAAAGGTTCTCCAAAAATAAGTAACGAGACAAAACTGTCATAATATGTATTGCCTTCTGTCTTAATTCATAGATACCAAGTGTTTAAAAAACTTTTTGACCGTCTCACACGATGACAAACTGCTTGAAGTTGAAGACTCCATATAGTATATATATAACCGATCACTGTGAGAGTTATGCGGATTTAGCCAAATTCGGCTGTATGTTCATCCATCTGTATATACGCAAGCTAACCCCTCAGTTTCCGAGATATGGATCTGAAATTTTGCACACAACCTTTTCTCCACAAGAAACTGTTCCTATGTTGGACTCGCTGACATCGGAACACTATAGCATATAGCTGCCATACAAACTTATAGATCAAAATCAAGTCCCTATATGTAAAACCTTTTTATTGGACAAGATATCTTCACAAAATTCAGCGTGGATTATTATCAAAAGCAAAGCCACAATCTTCGAATATATTTTTTGAATCGGACAACAATAGCTTATAGCTATCCTACAAACAGATCGGTCAAAAGCAAGTCCCTGTATGAAAACTTTTTTATTTGATGAGATTTCTTCACGATTTATTGGCATGGATTATTGCTCAAGGCAACGCTACAATCTTCGAACAAGCTATTCAGATCGGAACACTATAGCATATTGCTGTCATACAAACTAACCGATCCACATCAAGCCTTTGTTTGAAAAACTTGTTTATTTGAAAAGATATATTCACACAATTTGGTGCAGATAACAAATATAATAACTTGAGAGAGTAAGAGGTGACAAAAAAAATATATTATTCTTAAAAAAAATGTTGAAGCACCCTAATACATAACCTCATTACAAAGAAATGTAAATGATAGGCACTGTCGACAGTTGACCCAGTAAAGTATTTCTTGTTTCGCTAACTGGGTTTAAAGTTGTTCATAATAGCTGATAGTATCCTGTACTCACTTTCTTTTACGCATTTGCATGTCTACCTTCGTCATTACTGCCACTTTTTCTTCATTTGCATGGCTCTACGCATTTATGTTATTATTTATTGCGCACACACATACATACAAACTCATATTTCTATGCATGCACACATAAATTTTTATTAACGTGATTATTTATGACAAATATTTGCAAATTTTTTACATATTCTTGTTGACAATTGCCGCTTCCCGAACACGCCACGTGCCAAAACGCTCAGTCAGGAGGCGCCGCGCCAGCTATTTTTCGTTTATTGTTTTGCTTCCATTTGGGCTTTAATTAATTTTCGGTCGCCAAAGCTATCATTTTATACATTTGTAAACAAGTAAATTCCGACACACACACACACACACATACATACACATGTTTCGCTGATCATTTACACACACTTAAATAATTTAGCTGTCATTCGCACAAACATACACATACACAATTGATATGTTGTAGTTATATGTGTTGGGCAACCAAAAACCGTTAGGCACGCACTTCGCACTATTAACGATTTCAAAATCTATTTAATGAGTCGCACCGAACCCAAACAGCTGAGCCCGGCTGCTTGGATTCGTGACACTGCCTTAAGCGGCAATCCTTTGTGCCATAGCATACATATAGGCGCATTAGCACGCCCCAAAATTTTATGCTTACAATTAACTTTGTTATTGTCTTTGCGTTGTTTGCTAACTTATTGGTTGATTGCTGCCGCTACTTTTATTTGCTCGTGTTAACAGATGTTCGTATGTATTCGTATAGGGAGAGCGCGCCATATTATTATACAACTTTTGGGTCTTTTCAGGCATATTTTTAACGCCTGTCGGATTTTAAAACTCCACAAAACCACTGTGCGTGTAACTTAAATGAATAGAAGTCTAAACGTGATGAAGTAAATACAAAGGCTTATGTAATCCCCTTCTCCTACAAAACCCGAAACCATTTCGAGGGCTGTTAATACGATTCGCAATTTTTATTGTGCGCATAAATTATTTAAAAGCGGATTTCGTTATACGAAAGCAGCTTAAATTAAATGAGATTTACAACATTCTAGGGTGTGATCGCCCCAAGCGGGGTTTGCCATTTGGTATGCAGAATATTTAAAATATCTCCACGCAAAGTAATTAAACGAATAATTTATTGGTTCAAGCGGTAAATGCAAATTTCCTTTTATTGGAGATATAGATATAGATATAGATATAGATAAAGATATAAATATAGATATAGATATAGATATAGATATAGATATAGATATAGATATAGATATAGATATAGATATAGATATAGATATAGATATAGATATAGATATAGATATAGATATAGATATAGATATAGATATAGATATAGATATAGATATAGATATAGATATAGATATAGATATAGATATAGATATAGATATAGATATAGATATAGATATAGATATAGATATAGATATAGATATAGATATAGATATAGATATAGATATAGATAAAGATATAGATATAGATATAGATATAGATATAGATATAGATATAGATATAGATATAGATATAGATATAGATATAGATATAGATATAGATATAGATATAGATATAGATATAGATGTAGATGTAGATATAGATACAGATATAGATATAGATATAGATATAGATACAGATATGGGCATTCTAAAAACGACCAATATTTTGGGTAAAATTCAACTTTTCCCTCAATATTTTCTAGAGAATTTTTTTTTAGGTTTCATCCACGTAAAAGTCCGCCACTGCAGCAGTGGATGACCTTTTGTAAGCGCCATCGGAGATCGAAAAATATTCAGTTTTTTCCATAAAAAATTTGGTGTTCTTCTATGTTCATAAATTTCTTGAAAATGTCTCGTAAAATGTAAAAGATATCCATGCAAGCACTTTATTCTGATTACTCAGTTTGTATGGCAACTATATGCTATAGTAGTCCGACATCGGCGGTTCCAAAAAAACGAGCAGCCTCTTGGAGAGAAAAGCACGCGTGCAAAATTTCAAAACGATATTTCAAAAACGGAGAGACTAGTTCGCATATATACAGACGGACGGACGAATGGACGTGGCTAAATCGACTCAGCTTGTCATGCACACCATTTATATATATTTATTTTATAGGGTCTCCAACGTTTCACAAAACATAAATATCGACTTTTCCAATTCCTAAATAGTGCAAAAGTTATGGTAATGAAAAACAGATTTTGTACGTGTTATTTAGATGGGAAACTTGGTATAAAGGCTTACCGACATTTCTTAAAGTTAAACTAAACATTCTGCTTTGCAATGATACTTCTTTTTCCCTATAAGTTCATATACATACATATACATATAAGTTCATTTTAACCTATCATTAAGTTCTATTATGTTCCACCCTAATTTGTATCTATGTAAATAGATGTAACACGTTCCTATTAAGTAGTGACTCATCTGTGCGACTCTACTTCATCCATTTCATTTTCTGCTTACCTTCACACAAGAGTGAGTTCATCTGCTGCTGCAGTCGCTTACAGCTTGAAATATTAAACAGTTATCTCCATATTACTTGCTGCAACTCACTTGGCGCATTGGCTATATTTTATTGTCGATAAAGGTAAAATTAAATGCCAATTCCATATTCTTAAAAGGTAGTAAAGAACACAAGTGCCACTGCGCCCCAACAGGGCGAACAGCAAGACTTATGCTCCATAGATGTATGTATGGTAAGCACTTGTTTGCAGCAGTTTGTTTGCGCTCGCATAAGCTTCTGCTCCTCTCGCTTGCGATTCGGACTTTGTCCCAGTTTAATAAATTCTCGCGTTATTCTTTTTTCGAGGCAGCAAAGCACTACAAAAATAAAAGCAGACTCTCTTTCTCGTGGCATCTAAGTGGAGGATTAAAATTTCAAATTCAACTTACTCGCCGCTGCAAGTGGAGCGCAAACAAAGAAAGCAGGTACTTTATGTTCTTCGATGATAAAGAAAAGTTTTAGCGAATTGATCCGACTAAGATGTGTGTGTGAGTGTGTGAACAGTGCAATGTGAATGTCAGTGCAAATTAGCTGAGCGGAGAGCCAATCAATAGCGCATGCTGTTGACTGTCAATTTGGTTTTGTGGTTTTTGCTTACAGCGCGCTTTTCGCTCTTAAACTAGGAAATATAGAAAAACAAAAAAAAACAGATTTTTGTTTTTTTGTTTTGAAAAGTTAACAAATGGCTGGCATGAAATTCCTGCGTTAGAGAGTGAATTTTTAAAATGCCAGTAGGTAATAATTGATCAATTTAATTCCACATTGAACAACTCTCATTTTGACAATTAGTTTGAACTTTGATAAATAGAAATTTCATCTTTCTAAGTGTAAGTATTCAGGATTGCCGATGTTGCTTTGTGGGGTAAATTATTGTATAACTAGTTCAATTCCGGTCAATTCTAAAGGGTAGACATTTCTAAAAGACTTCGCTTCTCGGCAAGTACCAACAAATAGATTTCTGTCATGTGTGAGCTTCTCATGAAATGCCAAGAAACGTTCGGCATTGTCTTTACGATCCACCAATTGTCAGGTGACTTTAAGTTTTGAACCAAAAATTGGTGCAGAAATTAGGATCATATGACAGAAATACAATTGATATTCTATGAAAAGAGGACGTGGTTTAAGTCTAATTTCGCCTAATAAAAAACTGTGCTGTCGGACGTTTTTTGAAAATATGGAGAACGGGACACTTCATCTTCATCATTTCCTGTATCTCCCACTAAAGTATAGGCTCTCAAGAACGAAACGTTTTGACGTGACTTTTATGATCCACCAATTGTCAGTTGACTTTAAGTCTTGAACCAAAAATTAGTGCAGAAATTGAGGTTAAGTAAGAAAACAGAGATTATACTTAAAAAAAAGCATAGAATATGCGGATATTAATAATATTCTTAAAATAAGTTGATTAAGGAGGATAAGCGAATATTGAAGAAGAATATAAATATTGTCAGAACATCGGGAAACGATCAAAAATTTTATGTAATATTTTAATTTGGCAATTATCGAGATGAGTTTCGAAACTTTGCAGAGCGTTTTTTGAAAAGATTGCGAATGGTTTTAATATGGTTGTATACGTCTTTAAATGTAGTTTAAATACCATTTAACTAAAAGCTTTCGACTAAAAGTTTTGATGTAAAATTTAGCGTTCATTAGTGGTTTGTAAGTCGTCTTTGATTCCATATTGTACCGGTTCAACACAGCTCTACAAAATAACACCAGCGAAGCATGTATAAAGCATTAGAGCTATTTTCAGAAGTGTCGATGGAAATATTCATTCAACGTTCGAGAATTAACAATAGGAAGCTCCGACGCTGAATTAGTGGTGTGAACTGTGGCTTTACATAATTAATGGAACTTAATTTCTCCGAATAATAATCAGACCTTCTTAGTGGCACTCCTCAGTTAAAACCAATTGAAATTTATCTTTATAATTTATATTAAAGTCGTTGTAATTTTTTATGCAACAAAAGTGAACTCATAGCGAAATTTATTGACACAGAATGTAGGCATATATTTCACTGCTGGGCTTCGACACTTAAACAAATATTTAAAGGTTAACGACTCACCCATTTCTTCATTGTTTTTAGACACTTCAATTTTTTTATGGCTTATTGTTGTTGGCATGACTTACTTACTGTTTCGGCATATATATTTTATTTTAGTACATATTTTATATGTATGTATTTATGTACAATATACTTGTATATAAATTTACCTACATATTGTTTGTATAGTGCATACACATTTGGCTTGTCCGCTTGCCGACGCCTTTGTGTGCCAAGTTTTCTGCCGTTAGTTTAGGGTTACAAAGTGTGTAAAAAGTAATAATTTTTATTTACTTACATATATCTATGTTTGTATGTATTTTTGTAACTACGAACATATAAAAACGACGTGTTTTCTTTAGTGTTAATACGAGAATACTCTCAGCAATTCTTCTTCTTCAGCTTTTAGTTCTTCAATTGCTATTTCGTGCACTTTAATGCAAACTGAAAGCAATATGTACACATATACAAGTATATAGATATGTGTATATGTATATTTGGCTGAGCCAAAAACTAACTTATCGAATTTATGGTTTAAAACTAGCTTATATACAGACAAAACAAAAAGAAACATTAACTTTAAGGATTGGATTAATATCGGTTAATTTGTATGGCAGCTATATGCTATAGTGGTTCGATCTGCAAAATTTTTTCAGTGATTATAAAAGTGCTCTGGAAAATAAGCCATGCCATAATTCAGATAAAAATATCTGCAAAGTTGTTGAAAATATCTTGTCAAATGAAAAACTACAAACTGAAAAATTTCTGAGGAGATTATAGAAATATCTTGGTTAATAAACCATGCCAAATTCCATTAAGATATCTTTAAAAATAAAAGAGTTTTTCATACAAGGACTTGAACTTTATCGGTCATTTTGTATGGCAGTTATATGCTACAGTCGTCTGATATCGATTGTTCCGACAAATGAGCAGCTTCTTGGGGAGAAAATTACCTGTCCAAAATTTCAGATTGATATCTCAAGAACTGAGGGACTAGTTCGAGTATATACAGACAGACCGAGCATATGCCAAAATAGACTCAGTTTTCACGCTGATCGTATATACAAGTATATACTGGTATATGGTATAAATGTATATATATATGTTTAAAGGATCTTCGACGATACCTTCCAGCTGTTACAAGCTTCTTGGCAAACTTTATATACCCTGTTCAGGATTTGAAAATATCCCTGCAAAGAACAAGTTTTAGCTTAATTTTAAGAGGTGTTGGTAAGCGCTCAAAGTATACTATATAAAAAGCATGTAAAAAAATATGTACTGATTAGAGATACCATAACTTTTGAACCGTTTATGACAATTTTTTAGATTGCAGATTGTTGCGAAGCACAAAATTTCGTAACAAAATATCAGTGGAATTTTTTTATGTATAGGAATAATTTTTATGCTGTATAAAAGTTCATTTCAACTAATAAATTCAATAAATGATTTTTTTTTGGCACACCCTAATATATATATCAATATACAGTAGCAAATATATCGATGTGCCAAGCATTTCGTTACTTTAATAACACTGGCTTGTTTTTGTTGCTGCTTTTTCTGTTTGATTTTTATGGTCATTACTTGGCAAATGTACAAAATGCGAAATACAAAACACCAAATATCTCGGTGTGTAACCAAAAACGGCCATAAATTTCTTGACGCAATTTGACTAGGCGCAACAACACTTTGGTTTCTTCGGTGAAAACTTAATTCCAACCCATGGCATATGTAGTGCTATTGTTGTTGCTGCTGTTGTTGTTGTTTTTGTTGTTGCATTTTGTTGTTGACACGTCGGCCGGAAATGTTTGACATTCTGCAAAAATGCCTAGCAAACCAAAATAACTTTGTCAACTGCCACGTGCTGTTGCTGTTTTATTTGTTGTTATTCAGTTAGGTTTGTTATTTTATGTTGTTGTAGTGAATTTAAAGGCGTTAATAAATTTGCTTGCTCGTGAATTATGCTCGACTGAATTAGAGTTAGAATTTATTGCTTGTATGCATTGTGGCATTTTAATAATTTATCTGAAATTCCTTTTTCAATGTTGTTTGGTGTGAATACTTTTCATTGGCACTGTCGTGCAATAAAGCATTGAGCTTAGAATCGCTTAATGCATATTTTAAATTAAAAACGATGATAAAACTGGAATGTCTTAATTGATAAAAACAAAATGTAGAATATCGGACCACTATAACATATAGCTGTCATACAAACTGGCTGCTCAAAATCAGGTTCTTCTAGGGAAAACTTTTTTATTAGACAAAATATCTGCATGAAATTTGGCACAAATTGTTGTCCAAAGCAACGCTGAAATTTTCGAAAATATTCTTTAGATCGGACCACTATAGCATATAGCTGTCATCCAACTGGCTGCTCAAAATCAGGTTCTTCTATTGAAAACTTTTTTATTAGACAAGATAGCTTCACGAAATTTATCACGGATTATTGCCCAAGCCAGCGCCACAATATCCGAATAAATTGTTTAGTTCGGAGTACTATAACATATAGTTGCCATACAAACTGACCTATCAGAATGAAAATAAAAATGACGCTATATCCTCTATGCCACAAAAAATGCATTTATGAAGGATATTTTAGCTTCGTTGCAGTCAAAGTTAAGGTCTTTTGTTGTTTTTGATTTCATTTGTCCTTCGTAATATTATATAATTAGCCCCTAGTTGCTTTTGTTGTCGCTCGATTATCATTGAATTACCGCTTTAGCTTGTTTATTTTACTTATTTAAATATTTATGTTTTCGAACAGCTGCACATATGCGAGATAAATGAAAAATTAAGTCACCAAAGTGCGATAATAATGCTAAAACCAAAAATAACAAAGAGATAATCCCTAAGTAAACACACGCAACAACACATGTGTGTATGTAGTATGTGTGTCATACACAACCTTAAACCCAACCACAGACAATATTTGTATATATATGTATATATGCATACATCCAAGCTATACATACATATGTATATTTGTTGCTGTGCACCCACCTGCTACACAAATAATTTTCGTTACCCTGCAGCTGTTGTCAGTTTGTCGAGGGACAAGCGCCCTAAAATATGCATTTGATTTTCGGGAATTCTCAGTTAACACTTGACAGCGCCGAAAGCACATACGAACAGCGTCAAATGCGCTTACACACATATTTACATTAATATGCTTTTAGATTTGATGTCTATATACTTGTATATATGTTAATTTGTACGCCATTCTAGGTTTTCATTTGAATAGCAAAATGTTTTATGTATTTTAATATGTGTAGATCTTTAACTATACTTTTGTATATATTTTATCTATACATTTGCATTTCTACAAATATCTTTCCAAGCACTGATCCCCTTATCTATACAGATATATGTCAATATATATTTATATATATTAATATATGTCTGTAGTTTTCACAGCATATTTCCATAATTTTAATTAAATACTAGACTAAAAGCTCTCTGTGAAAAAAGGAAAAAAAATTAACAAAAACAAAAGCAAAAGGCTGTATGCCCAGCCAACATTGTCGATTGTCAACGCCTTTTGGAGCCAACAATGTGTAAAAAATGCGGAGAAACAAGCGAAGAGAATTAAAACGA